GTAGGACCCAGCAGTGTTTTGTTCTGTTGTACGCAGGGTCACTATGAGTCGGAACTGACTCGACAGCACCTAACAACAACATCTTGTATCCTGATACTTTGCTGAAATCTTCTACTAGTTCTAGAATTTTTCTTGTGGACTCTTTGGGGTTTTCTGTGTATAAGATCGTATCATCTGCAAATAGAGTTACTTCTTCTTTACCAATTGGGATGCCCTTTATTTCTTTTTCTTACCTTATTTCTCTGGGTAGGTCCTTCAGCACAATATTGAATCAGAGTGGTGATAAAGGACATCCTTGTCTGGTTCCTGTTCACAAGAGGAACGCTTTCAGACTCTCTCCACTGAGGATGATGTTGGCTATTGGCTTTGATAAATGCCCTATATTATGTTGAGGAATTTCCGTTCTATTCCTATTTTGCTGAGAGTTTTTATCATGAATAGGTGTTGGACTTTGTCAAATGCCTTTTCTGCATCGATTGATAAGATCATGTGGTTCTTGTTTTTTGTTTTCTTTATGTGATGGATTACATTGATTGTTTTTCTAATGTTGAACTATTGCTGCATACCTAGTATGAATCCCACTTGGTCATGTTGAATTAATTTTTTGATGTGTTGTTGAATTCTTTTGTCTAGAATTTTGTTAAGGATTTTTGCATCTATTTTCATGAGGGATATTGGTCTCTAATTTTCATTTTTTGTAGTCTACCTGGTTTTGGTATCAGGGTTATGCTGACTTCACAGAATGAGTTCGGTAGTATTCTATTCTTTTCTATGCTCTGAAATACCTTTAGTAGTAGTGGTGTTAACTCTTCTCTGAAAGTTTGGTAGAATTCTCCAGTGAAGCCGTCAGGACCAGGGCTTGTTTTTTGTTGAGAGGTTTTTTTTTTTTTTAAATTACCTCTTCAATCTCTTCTTTTGTTATAGGTTTATTTATGTTTTCTACCTCAGTTTGTGTTAGTTTAGGTAGGTAGTGTGTTTCGAGAAATTTTGTCCATTTCCTGTAGGTTTTCAAATTTGTTGGAGTACAGTTTTTCATAGTATTCTGTTATGATTCTTTTAATTTCGGTTGGGTCTGTTGTGATATCACCCATCTCATTTCTTATTCAGGTTATTTGCTTCCTCTCGTTTTTTTTTTGGTCAGTTTGGCCAGTGGTTTATCATTTTTTTTGATCTTTTCAAAGAACCAGATTTTGTTGACTCTTTCAATTGTTTTTCTATTCTCTGTTTTATTTAATTCTGCTCTACTTTTTATTATTTCCTTTTTCAGGTGCTTGTTGGCTTATTTTGCTTGTCTTTTTCTGTTTATTCAAGTCATAGGGTTACTGATTTAATTTTGGCCCTTTCTTCTTTTTAGATGTGTGCATTTATTGCTATAAACTGACTCTGAGCACTGCTTTTTGCTGTGTCCCAAAGGTTCTGGTAGGATGTGTTTTCATTCTCATTTGATTCTATGAATTTCTTTATTCCATTGTTTATTTCTTCTATAACCCAGTAGTTTTTGAGCAAGGTGTTATTCAGTTTCCATGTGTTTGAATTTTTTCCTGGCTTTTTCTGTTACTGATTTCTAGTTTTGTGGCTTTATGGTCAGAAAAGATGCTTTGTAATATTTTGATGTTTTGGATTCTGTTAAGGCTTGCTTTGTGGCCTAATATGTGGTCTGTTCTGGAGAATGTTCCATGTGCATTGGAAAAGAACATATACGTGGCTGCTTTTGGGTGGAGTGTTCAATATATGTCTATGAGATTAAGTTGGTTGATTATGACATTTAGATCTTCCGTGTCTTTATTGAGCTTCTTTTTAGATGTTCTACCTTTCAGTGAAAGTGGTATGTTGAAGTCTTCTACTACTATTGTGAAACCGTCTATTTCTCTTTTTTGGATCCCTGTCATTGGGTGCGTAAATATTTATTATGGTTATGTCCTCTTGGTGTATTGATCCTTTAATCATTATTCAGTGTCCTTCCTTATCCTTTGTGGTGGATTTCACTTTAAAGTCTATTTTGTCAGAACAATATTACCACTTCTGCTTTTTTTGTTTGTTATTTTCTTGATGTGTTTTTTTCCTTCCTTTGAGTTTTAGTTTGTGTCTTTGAGTCTAAGGTGTGTGTCTTGTAGACAGCAAATAGACAAATCATTTTTTTTTTATCCATTCTACCACTTTCTATCTCTTTATTGGTGCATTTAGTCTGTTTACATGCGATGTAATTATTCAGAGGTATGAGTTTAGTGCTGTCATTTTGATATATTTTTTTGTGGGGTTAAAATTTTTTTGTTCCACTTAATTTTCTGTACTGAGTCATTTTTCTTTATGTATTTTTGTCATTGTTGATTTTGTATTTGCTGAGTCTTTGTTTTTCTTGTTTATTTTGACGTGTAGATTTGTTACTTTCCTTAAAATTTACCTCTGTTTTTCTAAGTTTAAACCAGTCTTTTATTTCTTGATATTGCCTTAACTTCCTCTCCATAGGAAAGTTCTATGACTACACTATTTAGTCCCTCTCTTTTTAATGTGGTCATCTTTGACATATTGATGTCTCTGATTCTCTATTTTCAGTGTTGTAGCTTTGACTTATTTTTGTGATTTTCCAGTCTGAGTTGATACCTGATTGTTCTGTCCTGTGTTCTAGTCTTGGGTTGTTATCTGATATTATTAATTCTTTAGTCGAAGGACTCCCTTTAGTGTTTCTTGTAATTTTGGTTTGGGTTTTACAAATTGTCTTAACTTCTGTTCATCTGGAAATACCCTAATTTCACCTTCATATGGGAGATAATTTTGCTGGATATATAATTCTTGGCTGATAGTTTTTTTCCTTCAAGGCTTTATTTATGTCATCCCATTGCCTTCTTGTCTGCATGTTTTCTGCTGAGTAGTCCTAGCTTAGTCTTATTGACTCTACTTTGTAGGTGAATTTTTGTTTATCCCTAGCTGCTGTTAAAATTCTCTCTTTATCTTTGCTTTTGGCTGATTCGATTATGTCTTGGTGACCTTCTTTTGGGATCTACCCTCTGTGGAGTTCAATGAGCTTCTAGGATAGATATCTTCTCGACTTTCACACTATCAGAGAACTTTTCTGCCAGCAAATTTTCAACAAGTCTCTCTGTATTTTTGTTTTCCTCACCTGTTCTGGTACTCCAGTCACTCATAGGTTTTTTCTCTTGATAGAATCCCACATAATTCTTAGGGTTCCTCCATTTTTTAAAATTATTTTATCTGGTTCTTCTGAAACAAATTGGTGTGAAGTGCTTTATCTGCATTCTCAGTAATTCTGAATTCCATTGCCTCAGTTCTTCTCTAATGACTTTCTGTTGAGTTGTCTAATTCTGAAACTTTATTGTTGATCTTTTGATTTTCTATTTGCTGTCTCTGTGGATTCTAGCAGCCTGTTAAATTTGTCATTTTTCTCTTGTATAGCTTCCTAAATTCCTCTGTTGCTTTGTTTGTGTGTTCCTTGAGTTGGTCTGTGTTTTGACTGATCTCCTTCCTGATCTCTTGAAGAACTCTGTGTATCTTTTGAATTCTACCTCTGGTAATTCCAAGACTTTCTTTTCCTGCAGGAGGTTTCCTGGTTCTTTGTTTTGGTCACTTGCTGAAGCCATCATGGTCTGCTTCTATGTGATTTGATATTGACTGTTATCTCCAAGCCATAAATAAGTTATTATATTTATTTATTGTATATTTGCTTAATGTGTCTTAGTTTCTTGTTTTGTTTTGTTTTGATATGCCCAAATAGGCTGGGCGTGTGGGCTACTTTGATTATTGGCATCTTTGAAGCTCTCACATGCTGTCACTAGGTGGTTAGAGCTGCTACTAGGTATTAGAGCTTGGGAGTCTCTTTACTTTTCTCGTGTGGATTCAGCTCAGTTGTCTAGATTGTCAGGGCTATGTAGTGGTGATTAGAGCAGGCACAAATGTCTGGCTGCAGTAGGGGGTTATGTACTGAGGAAGGTAGGGGGCTGATGGCTGCCCCTGAGTGCCTTGGTGGAAGGTGTGTCCCTGTCCCCTAGAGCACTTAGGTGGGTGGGTTTTGCAGCCGGACTTTCGGCACCCAGTGCTGTTGGCTATAAGGACTGGGAGGCACCACTTAGTCTCAGACCCGTTGTGGGTGGCTACTTGTAGTTGGTGAAGCTGCCAGTCATCAGGCCCCTGATGTCCCTGGGTAAGGACCCTGCTTAATGGGCATTGCAGTGTCAAATGTCACGAATCTGCCACTCTCCCTTAGGTGTTGCAGTTGAAAATAGACTTCGGGTGTATATACCCTGTTGTACTATGCTAATGAGGGCCTATGCTCTTGAATGGGCCCACACAGGTCTAGGCAGGGGTAAAAGGCATTCGAATTCCATGGATCCCTTATGCCTGTGCCTAGACAAAGGGGCAATGCCTGCCCTGAGTTCCCGGCGTAGGTGGCATGGTGATTTTTTAAAGCTGTGAGACTGGTTTGGGTGCAGTTAGCCCTGATGTCCCAGTTTAGGGGAGTTAGTGGTTTCCTTTTTTGTCTATTGGTTCCCTCTCAAAAGCCAGGAGAGTGGCTTAGAGGCGTGAGGGGTCCAACTTCTGGCCCAGGAGGCATGGCAGCTGCTGAACACTGCCAGCCAAGCACCAGGGCAGAGCGGGGAGGCTGCAGGTGAGGGTAAGGGTAAGAGAGGCACTTTCCAAAGGAGGAAGGATCATTTTGATCCCACCTGGTAGGTTAGATGCTTACACTTAACTTTTGCAGATCCAGTGTGTCTTCCCCCTTGGTCTGGAGTCTTGTGGAGACTCTCCACTGCTCAGTTTCTCACAACGTGTTAAGAACGTGTCCCGAGTGCTGCTTCTTGCCTCAGCCCGTGTGTGCCAAATGGTCCAGCCAGCCGGGTGCCAGCTAGGTCAGGTCTGGCACGTCTTTGCTGCTTCTGAACTGTGTCTCTCTCCCTCTGCCTCTCAGTCTGATTCCTCAACTTTGTCTTTGATGTTCAGCACTTCCAGATTATTATATATAATTGGTTCACTTGTTTTTCTTTTTTGATCTTTGTTCTAAGAGGGACCACAGAAAGCATGTGACTCTTCTGCCATCTTGGCCAGCTTATCTCCCTTTGGCAATTCTTTTAGACCATGTATACTGGCTACACATTTTCTTAGGTTTTTTTTTTTTTTAAATTCCTGAAGGGTATATACTCTTGAAATAGAATTCTGTGTTGACTGTCTTTTCTTTCAGCACTTTAATAATGTTATTCTACTGTTTTCTAGACTCCATAGTTCTGATGAGAAACCCACAGTCATTCATATCCTACAAACTGCGGCCCATAGGCTGACCACCTGTTTGTTTTTTCTAAAGAAAGTTTTATTGGAACAAAGCCATGCCCATTTGTCTATATATTGTCTGTGTCTGCTTTTACAGAATGACAGTTGCAACGGAGACCACATGGCCTGCAAGCCTAAAATATTTACTATTTGGTCTTTTAAGAAAATGAATTGGCCAATCCCTGCCCTATAGGTAATGTTTTCTTTCACTTTGTTTTGGATTATTTTAAGAGTTTGTCTTTAGTTTTCAACAATTTGATTATGATGTTCCTGGGCGTGAATTTCTTTGGCTTTAACTTGTTTGGAGTTTGCTCAGTTTTTTGAATTTCTATGTATATGCCATTCACCAAACTTGGGGAATTTTTAGCCATTATGCCTTCACATATTGTGTTAGCACCACACTCTTTTCTCCTGGAATTCTGATGACATGATGAATGTTAGAGCTTTTCTTATTGTCCCCAAGTCCTTGAGGCTCTATTCTTTTTTTTTTTAATCTCTTTTTTTCTTCATTGTTCAGATTGGATACGTTCTATTGATCTATCTTCAGGTTCACCGAATCTTTCCTCTGTCATCTTCATTCTACTGTTGAATCTACCAGTGAGTCTCCCACACCTCAGCTATTGTATATTTAGTATATTTTAGTTCTAAAATGTCTGCTTGATTCTTCTTTAAATCTTCTCTGTTTTTCTGCTGACACTTAGTATTTTTTCTTATTGTAGTGAAAATACATACAGCAAAGCATGCACCAGCTCTGCAGTTTCTACATGTATAATTTAATGACACTGATAACATTCTTTAAGTTGTGCAACCATTCTCGCTATCCTTTTCCAAATTATTCTACCACCATTAACATAAACTTGCTACTCCCTAAGCAGAAACTACTCCTTTCTCCCTCCCTTGCACCGCTAGTAATCACTAATAATTTTTACTTTTTAATATATTTGCTTATTTCATACAGGTGAGGCCATATAGTATTTGTCCTTTTGTGATGCATTTATTTTGCTTGGCATAGTATTTTCAAGGTTCATCCATCTAGTGGCATACATCAGGACTTCATTTCTCCTTATGACTGAGTAATATTCCATTGTATGTATATGCCACATTTTATTTATCCACTCATCTACAGATTGTTGTTTCCACCTTTTGTCTATTGTGAAAAGTGCTGTAATGAACATTGGCGTATGGGATTCTGTTTGCATTCCTGCTTTCACTTCTTGATACATACCTAGGATTGGGATTGCTGGGTCATATGGTAGCTCTGTGTGACACTTAACATTTTAACTTTTCTTTCAAGAGTGTGTGATTAGTCACTCAAGCATTTTTATAAAACATATGTGTTCATGTTGTGTTTGATTCAGGTTTGTAAGGATTGTCTGTATGAGGTAACCAAAAACCCAAAAACCAAACCCGTTGCTGTCAAGTTGATTCCAACTCATAGCAACCCTATAGGACAGGGTAGAACTGCCCCATTGGGTTTTCAAGGAGCAGCTGGTCGAACTGCCAGCCTTTTGGTTAGCAGCCGTAGCTTTTAACCACTACACCACCAGGGCTTTGCGTGAGGTAAAGATACCACTGTGTTGTCGTTTTAGATCATTAAATGTCTAAACCATCTACTTTGTGCTTTATTAGTTTCAGAAAGTCCAAGGACTTTCTTAAAAGAAAATGCATTCAACCAAACAGCATCTATCATAGCATCATTAGTTACTAAATTAAGATTCTGTCCACTAGATTTATAAACTACCTGTGTAGTAGTAGTGGTAATAGTAGGACCATTTGTCTTATGCTTTCCTTAGGCCAGGAATTACATCAGTAAGTTACTTCATTTAATTCTCTCATAAGAATGTAAGATATACGAAGGTGGGAACTTTGTGTCTTTTAGTTACTGGTATAATTTCAGTATCTCTAGCTGTGCCTGGTACATAAGAGATGCTCAATAAATATTTGTGAAATCAATGGTTATGTACATTTTTTTATGCCATTTTAGTAATGAGGAATGAATCTTAGCATGATTAAAGCACTTGCCCAAAGATAGAATTCTTGTCATGGAACTGAAACTTAAACTCATGGGGGATGGTTGTTGTCATTTTGACATGAGGACATACCAGCTTAATTGCAGCCAGACATGTGTAGTAATATTATATTAATTATGATTGCTTTGGGTCTGGTTGACAAAGGTTTTCTTAAAGGGCCAGAGGGTAAATTTTTTAGGCTTTGTGGACCAGATGGTCTCTGTCACAAACACTTAACTCTGCCATTGTAATGGGAAAACAGCCATAGACAAGACATAAATCAATGCGTGTGGCTGTGTTCCACTAAAACTTTATTTGCAAAAACAGGTAGCAAGTCAGATCTGGCCCACTTTCTATAGTTTGCTGACCTCTGCTTTAGGTGATCTCTTACCACTAATGCCACAGGGAATCACACATGCATATGTGGGCGCTGAAATTGCATGGCAGTACTTGTAATATGGTAGACATCTAGATGATCCAGAATATGTTTATATTAATTGTTTGTAATGATTAGTCTAGAAATGAAAACAAAATTTAGGAAAGTGTCATGAAGAATTTAGGAATCTTCAGAGATTCTTGGACCCTACTTTAGAAGAAGTGATGCAAGGAATAGTAAAAATAGAAAACAAATATAGTAAGTAAGATATATTATAAAAAGCATTAGCACATTCTATGTTTTATCTGTCTAACATTTAAAATTTGTATTGCCTAGTTAGAGACCAAGATTGGGGAGGAAGGAGTAAGCTTTTGAATATCCTTTTTTGTTTGTAATTACAGGCTTCTGGTACCAATTCCTGTTTTTTCTCTGAGACCTAGGTTTTATTTAATTTTTGCTGTTTCTGGTTGTTTTTTCTTTGGCGTAATTTATTTCTGTTTAAAATCCTTTCCTCTTGGGGATAAATTGTTAAATAACCAAGAGTCATGTATGCTGATGTGCTTGGTAACATTTTAATAATTTAGGAAAGAGCCAGTGTTAATGATCAAAATATTAATTGCATAACATTAAGGGATATATTTAAATTAAAAAAATTAAGGTGTATTATAACTAAACTTTCCCCAGACAACTTGCTTTTCTGAACTTGTAGTCCATGTAGTCATCATTTAATTTGTGATTCAACTTTAGTAGGGAATGATTTATAACAGTTTAATCTGCTTAGGGGAATTATTTGGCTTTGCTATTTGTCTAGATATTTTTTCTTCATAGAATTAGGCAGTCTTCAGCTAAAATTGCCACGAATTTTGCATCAGTAGGGTCCATATAATAAGCTGTTTTGTTGCAGTTTCTTAGACATATTTTAAAATATGCATCTACAAGCAACAGTTATACAAGTTTATGAAAGAGTTGGATTTCTATTTTGCCACTTAAGAGCTGTGTGACCTTGGGCAAGTTAGTGTTCTTTTTTAGGTATGTTTCCTAATCTTAAAATTGGGGATAATAATAATAATGTCAATGCATAGGGTTGTTGGGAGGATTAAATGAGATAATGCATGTAAAGACTTCAACAAAGTGACTGGTATATACTAAGTTTGTCCATGTAAACTGCTTTACCCTGTAATAGAGAAGTTACGTTTAGGAGCTCTTTGAATTTGGAAATGAATACTTTCTATATTTAATATTGTTTACTGTATGTATAAAAGATTTTATTTACATCTTTCATATATAAGCTGATTTTCTTATGTTCTTTATTGCAGTCTTTCATCATGTTTATTTTCTAAGTATATTTAGTAACGTGTTGATCTATTTAAAACGTTCAACTAATCCAGGACTATGCAGAGAAAATAATCAAAGCTAGAAATAAGACAAAGCACTATATTTTCGGCATAGGAAGCATGTGTACTCGCATATTTAAGTACTGACTTTTTAATGTGTTAGGAGCTATCAAATATAGGGATAGTGGTTTATCTTGCTTCCCCTTCTTTACTGATACTGTCTTAATGTATGCATATGCAAGTTGGTTTCCTGTATTTCTTTACTGTAGAATAATAAGCACTTGGGTGAATTGTCCAGTTGTACAGTGGTTTATTGTATCTTTGCTTGTCTCTAGGATGATTGAGGAAAGTGGGAACAAGCGGAAGACCATGGCAGAAAAGAGGCAGCTGTTCATAGAAATGCGTGAGTCTTGGCTGCTTCTGGGTCCCTTGTTGGTTTATGCTGGAATGTTTTTTTCTGATCACACCACAGCTTTAATCAGTTAGAAATTTTAGGTTTTAAGCTTTAGAAAGGGAGGAATAAAAGAGTTAAATAATCACAGAGTTGGAGAATCCCAAGCCAGAGCATATATTTTAGTTGAATTGACTTGAATTGCTTTCTTAAGCAAGGTCATAAATAATAAGGTAGAAATGTTACCTAGAATATACATGATTTAACGCTTGTCAGTCAAGTTACACTTCTCGCTGCAATTGTGTTGTTAGCATGACCTTGCAGGTAGTAATAAATAATTAATCCATTATGTAAACTACATTAAAGGTTATAAGGTAGAGAGGATGAAGTGTTAGGAGAGCACTTAGAACTATAGGAAAAATTATAAAGAAGGAATGTATACTTAGGTATATTACATCTGTAAACTTTTAAATCTTCTGTTGAAAATTGTAGTCTTATATGAAACTCATAGAGGAAAAAATGGCCAAGAAAAGTGGAGCAGTCCTAAGTTTTTGAAGGATTGTTTTGCTCTGTGACTACTTGTTTACGTGACCTTGACCAACCTTCCTTGACCACCTTGCTTACACTTGCTGGACCTCAAATTCCTTTGCCATGAAATATAGTTAGTCTGGACCAGTGATTGTGAAACCTTTTAAAAGCATTTATTCCTGCCTTTTTTTTTTTTTTTTTGAAATGAAATCATAAAATGACCCTCAAGCTCTGGGAACCATGGTCTTGGGGAACATCTATAAACTTTCACTGAAAGTACAAGAAAAAAGAAATGACCCTCAACTTATGAGTATTATACAATTGGTACTACTTGCTTGAAGCAGGGGAGAAGAGACAGGAACCCATGCTGAGGTAGCCCCTGAGGTACTTGCAGAATTCTAGAATTCTGCGTATCACAGTATGAAAATCAGTATATAAGATCTCAAAAGAGTGTTTCAAATTTCACCATATTTTAAATCTTTAGAGTCTTGGAAATAGGAGGCAGAATTTGGCTTAACTCAAATCTGTCATGTCCTGTCAAGCTTAGGCTAGATGACTGTTTATTAAAGGTGCTAGAGAGAAATTTTGGCATTGGATAAGCAGCCAGACTGGTTGGTCTTCAAGAACTTTTGTAGTTGTGAGTCTCTAATTGCTAGTCATCCAAACCAGAAACTTTGGTGACACTTCATTCCAGTTTTCTCCACCTCATCCAAAGAAATCACAAGGAGCAATTGATTTTACCTCATAAATAAATCTTGACTCTATCTATTCCTTAAACTGTAATGTCTATTCCTCATACCTGGCTTTGAACCCAGGCTCTGCAATCAGACTGCCTGAATTTGGATCTTGGCTCCCTCAGTTACTGGCTGTGTAACCTTGGACAAGTTACTTAGTCTCTCTCTGCCTCAGTTTTCTCACCCATACAATGGGAATAATATCTATATCATAGAATTAATGTGAAGATTAAATGAGATAGTGCGAATAAAGCACTTAGTACAGTGCCTGGGACACAGAATGTAGTTAGGTGCCATCGAGTAGGTTTCAACTCATAGCGACCCTGTGTACAACAGAACGAAACACTGCCTGGTCCTGCTCCATCCTCACAATCATTGGTATGCTTGAGCCCATTGTGGCAGCCACTGTTTTCACTGACCCTTCACTTTACCAAGCATGATGTCCTTCTCCAGGGACTGATCCCTCCTGGTAATATGTCCAAAGTATGTGAGACGTAGTCTCACCATTCTTGCTTCTAAGGAGCATTCTGGTTGTACTTCTTCCAAGACATATTTGTTCATTCTTTTGGCAGTCCATGGTATATTCAGTACTCTTCACCAACATCACAATTCAATGGCATCAATTTTTCGGTCTTCCTTATTCATCGTCCAGCTTTCATAGCATATGAGGCGTTTGAAAACACCATGGCTTGGGTCAGGCACACCTTAGTCTTCAAAGTGACATCTTTGCTTTTCAACACTTTAAAGAGGTCTTTTGCAGCAGATTTGCCCAATGCAACATGTCTTTTGATTTCTTGACTGCTGCTTCCATGAGTGTGGATAGTGGATCCAAGTAAAATGAAATTCTTAACAACTTAAGTCTTCTCTCCATTTATCATGATGTTGCTTATTGGTTCCGTTGTGAGGATTTCTTTTTCTTTATGTTGAAGTATAATCCATACTGAAGGCTGTGGTGTTTAATATTTATCAGGAAGTTCTTCAAGTCCTCTTCACTTTCAGCAAGCAAGATTTTGTCATCTGCATAACACAGGTTGTTAATGAGACTTCCTCCAAGTCTGATGCCGCGTTCTTCTTCATATAATCCAGCTTCTTGGATTATTTGCTCAGTATACAGATTGAATAAGTATGGTGAAAGGATGCAACCCTGACATACACCTTTCCTGACTTTAAACCATGCAGTGTCCTCTTGTTCTGTTCGAACAACTGCCTCTTGATCTACGTACAGGTTCCTCGTGAGCACAGTTCTGGAATTCCCATTCTTCGCAGTGTTATCCATAATTTGTTATGATCCACACAGTCGAATGCCTTTGCATAGTCAATAAAACAGGAAGCATCAAAAGAAGATGGAAGGAATACACAGAGTCACTGTATCAAAAGGAACTGGTCAACGATCAGCCATTTCAGGAGGTAGCATATGATTAGGAACCGATGGTACTGAAGAATTCCAAGCTGCACTGAAGGCATTGGCAAAAAACAAGCCTCCAGGAATTGATGGAATACCAATTGAGATGTTTCAGCAAACAGATGCAGCACTGGAAATGCTGAATCCTCTATGCCAAGAAATTTGGAAGACAGCTACCTGGCCAACCGACTGGAAGAGATCCATATTTATGCCTGTTCCCAAGAAAGGATTCAACCAAATGCAGAAATTATCAAACAATATCGTTAATATCCAAGCAAGTAAAATTTTGCTGAAGATCATTCAAAAACGCCTTCAGCAGTATATTGACAGGGAACTGCCAGAAATTCAAGCTGGATTCAGAAGAGGACGTGGATCTAAGGATATCATTGCTGATGTCAGATGGAGCCTGACTGAAAGCAGAGGATACCAGAAAGATGTTTACCTGTGTTTTATTGACTATGCAAAGGCATTCAACTGTGTGGGACACAGAATAGTAAGTACCTAATATGGTTAGTTGGTTTATTATTAATATTTTTTGTTGTTGTTACTTTCCTGAACTAAAGCAGTAAGTATCTGTTCCCTTCTTCCAGTCTTAACCCTCTCAGTTCTGCTATCTATTATGCTGCAGAATGAACTATATAAATCTATTACTACTTGTTTAAATCCCTTCAGTTGCTGCTCATCACTTTCAGGATATAACGCCCAAACTCCTTAGCATGGCGAACAAGGCCCTCTGGCCTCTTTTGGGCTTGGCTTACCAGTTCCCAATTTCTATCTCATGCCTTATGTGTCATTTCCTAGCAATACTGAATTGACTTTTCTCAAGATAGATTGTGTCATTTCATGTCTTTGTGCCCTCGCTAATGCTATTCCTGCCACTTTCATCTGGCTAACTTCTGCCTATCCTTCAAGACTCAGCTGAGGGGGTCATCTTTCTGTTCAGTTTTTAACACATTTAGTGAGAATCTACTATGTTCCAGACACTATTCTGTTAGATTACAACAGAGAACAAAACATAGCCCCTGACTTCATTCATGATGCTTACATTTTAGTAAGAGGAGGTAGACAAAATAGAAAGTGAAATAAAGATTTTTTTGTTTGTTCGTTTAAATCTTAATAAATGTTATCACTCTGACACATAAATGTCATATAAGTTACTGTTCCTCTGTAACAAACTCAAGGGTGCAGACAGTTTGGGAGATGTTTGGTGAGTGTGACTCCTTGAATCTCCCCTTTTTCTTAATGGGAAATAAGCCTCCATTGGTGGCGATGGTATCTGCCTCTGGATGTGGAAGGGACCCAGAGTAGCCAAAACAATCTTGGAAAAGAAGAACAAAGTTGGAAGACTCACACTTCTTGATTTCAAAACTTACTATAAAACCACAGTAATCAAGACTCTGTGGCACTGGCATAGCATAGACATATAGATCAATGGAACAGAATTGAGAGTCCAGAAATAAACCCATAGTTTATGGTCAATTGATGTTTGACAAGGGTACCAAGACAATCCAGTGGGGGAAGAAATGGCCTTTCAAATGGTACTGGGACAACTGGATATCCACATGAGCCCTTGCTTTACACCGTATAAAAAAATTAACTCAAAATGGATCAGTGACCTAATGTAAGAACTAAAACTTTAAAACTCTTAGAAGAAAACATAGGTGTAATATTTTGTGACCATGGATTAGACAAAGGCTTTTTAAATATGAATCAAAAGCACAAGTGACAAAAGAACAGATACATAAATTGGACTTTGTCGGAATTAAGAACATGTGCTTCAGTGGGCATCGTCAAGAAAGGGAAAAGACAACCTACAAATTGGGAGAAAATTTTTGCAAATTATGTATCTGACAAGGTTCTTTTATCTAGAATATATAAAGAACTCTTACATATAGCCCAACTGAAATAATGGGCAAGGAGACTGCTGAAGTTTCCTTTTAGAGTGATGAAAACATTCTAAAATTGATGGTGGTAATTCACAACTCTGTAAATATACTTTGAATGGATTAATTGTATGGCATGGAAATCATATTTCAATAAAGCTGTTTTATTATTTTAAAAAATGGGACTATATAACCTATGTAAGGAAGGATTGAAATTTCATGAGAACCAGTTGATGGAGGAAAGATTTTAATCATGACATCAAGGTAAAGGTTGATTTAATTGAGACTAATAGAAACCCTTGCTTCGCTGCATGGTCAGTAAATGTTACTTTCACCAAAAGCCTGGAAGAATCCTTCTTTTTCTTTCTACATTTTGAAATGAACAGAAATGAGAAATGCCTGTAAATATTGGTAGAAAGTAATTTGTACCAATTCATTTTCCCTTTGTTGAGTCAAAAGTTGCCGCCAGATCTTATAAAGGCAGCGGAGATGAATTAAAAAACTCACACTGGGGGCCAAAGCTATCTAAAGTGACCTTTAAATTCAAGGAGGCCTCATTTGCAGCAAATTTTGAAGTATGAACAAGGTTTGATTTATAGACTTATGTAATTTTAGACCTTGTTTTAGTTACTATGGCTGCATATCACTTACCCTTACACAATCAAAACAGTCATTTATTTTGGTCGTGCATTTTGTGGGTCTAGAGTTAGAGCAGCATCCAGTGCGAACAGCTTCACTTTGTTTCATGATGTCTGGGGTTTTGGTTGGAAGACTCGAAGGCTGGGGTCTGGAATCATCTGAAACCTTGCGCACTTTCATGTTTGGCATTTGATCCTGGCCTTGGTTGATGGATTCAGTTCCTCTCCATATGAGCCTCTCTGTGTGGGCTAGTTTGGGTTTCCTCACATTGTGGTGTCTGGGTTCCAAGGTCAAGCATCCTGATGGAGGGAACACAGGGGCAAGCGGTACCACCTTTTATCACCTATCTTCAGAAGTCGTGCCGTGTCACTTCTGTCAGATTCTGTTCATTGAGGCTGTCACAGTGTCCTGTCTAGGCTCAAGAGGAGGGACATAGTCTCCAGTTCTTGAAGAAGAGTGACCGGGTACTAGACGCACATAAAATACTGGTCTGGAATACTGCTGTGGCCATTTTTAGAGACACATAGGCTGCCACAGACCTGGACTAGGACATTAGACATCAGGTGGGCCAGTTCTGCCATTTTACAGATGAGGACACTGAGGCTGAGAAGTATGTAACATGTTCTATGGTTGGTGGTCAGGCTGCGACTGGAATTTAGCCCTTGTGACTCTAGGCTTGGGTCTTTCCCAGTATACCCCTCCCCTTCCTGATTGATATCATTCATTCAATCAGGTTATAAGCGTTCCTTCCCTCAGAGTTTTCTTAGGTTAGCAGACAGGATAAAGCTACTGGCAGAATGCCTGGCATGTCATGGGCATGCAGAAAGTGCTCCCTGACCTTTCTCTGCCCCTTTTTTGTTTTATCAGAAGGCCTAGTTAGCATATTATATGATGTGGCCACAGTAATGGAATGGAGTTATTTCCTAGCATTTAGAAATTTCACAGTAAATCCAGCTGAACATTTCTCATTTGCCCTTTTTTCAGGTACTCAGAATTTTGATGTCATACGATTATCAACCTATAGAACAGCTTGCAAATTACGATTTGTACAAAAACGATGCAACCGTAAGTAATTTTTATTAAGCTCTCAGTAATACAGAAGATTTTAATATCTTTTAGTTATATTGTAATGTTAATTAGATTATTTTTGTCTTAAGTATTTATCAGAATTTATCAGGATATAATGAATAGAAGTGTTTATCATAAGCTTTTTAATGAAAGGATTTGTCATTTTTCTCCTTGTGCCCCTCAAAATGTTTAACAAACTACATGGAGTAGGAGCTCAATAATGTAACTTATTTTCAGGCTGGTATAGTATTAAGTTTTAAATGGGAGAACTGATTTCTCCTCGTCACTTTCATTAATGAGGTGTTTTATACAATATTAATATCACCAGCTTCTGAAAGAAAAGATAAGCAATGTTTGGATAAAGGTATAAGAATTTTCTTGAAAAAGCATAATATAACATTTAGGAATCAACCTTTTCTGTAAATCATTGCTACCACATGGATAATAAAACATAAATATATATAATCTTTCTTCTCTTAATTTCCATTAAGATGAACTGACATAACAGAACTACTGTATTTTTCATATACAAACACACAAATCTTGTTGTCAGCTGCTGTCAGGTTGGCCCACGACTCATAGTGACCCCATGCACAATGGGATTGGACCATTTTGGTGTGTATACACACACACACACACACACACACACACACACACACACGCACACACACACAAAGTCAGAAACTGTTTTGTATAATGGTAAGGACTAGCCTCAGAATTGAAACACCTCAGTTTTAATCTTGGTTTTCCCATTTGTTTTACACAGGTGATGTTATGGATTGAATTGTGTCCTCCCCAAATATGTGTTGTAAATCCTAACCTCTATGCCTGTGGTTGTAATCCCAATTGGGAATAGGCTGTCTTTGTTATGTTAATGAGACAGGATTAGTATAAGGTGTATCTTGAGTCAATCTCTTTTGAGATATAAATGAGATTAAACAAGCAAGCGAAAGAAAGTAGAGATAGGGGAAGAGAGATGACAAGCCACATGACGATTGCCCAGGAGCAGAAGCTTAACGAGACAAGGGCTTTCCTCCAGAGGTGGCAGAGAGAGAAAGTCTTCCCCTTGAGCTGGCACCCTGAATTTAGACTTCTAACCTCCTAAACTGTGAGAAAATAAGTTTGTTTGTTAAGACACCCACTTGTGGTATTTCTGTTGTAGCAGTACTAGATAAATAGGACGGGTGACCTCGGGCGAGTTACTTTACATCTGATAACTTCTACCTTAGTTTAAATCTTATTCACAAATCCTTGTTTAAAATTCTCTCCAAAGAGTCTTACCATGCCATCCAAGACCAAAGTCATGTTTCCTTGTCTGATTTCCCAGTTGTATTTCTAATTATAGATTGTGATCCATTAATGGTTCATAAGATCACTTTGGTGGGCTGTAGCCAGAATTTAAAACAATAAAATAGAAAAAATGAAAAAGAAAAATGTCAGAATGTAGCTTATGTGATAAGGCTAAAAGTGTTTTGTGAGACTTGTTTTTTGCATATCTAGGAGTGTGTTTTGTGTATTTATTTAAATATATTTCTGTGTGTTGTGGTAAGAAATTTTGAAAACTACTGTTATCATCTTTATAATTCTTTTAGTAATTGTTCACGGGAAACAGTGGTCTATGTATGGAGTGATGAGAGCCTGAACTAGGATAGTGGCATTAGTAATACAGAGTAAAAGATGCATTGTTCTAAAAGTTTTATTCCATTACCTTTCACATTTGATTCTACAATCTGCCTGGAATTATTTTTTGTGGGTGTATGGTATAAGCAGAGGTCAGATTTTAGTTTTTTTCCTATGTGTTTTCACTTGTCCCTATACTGTTTATTAAAAAGGCCATTCTTTTTCTTCACTGGTTGAGAATCTCCACATCATATTCATTAGGAGAAATGTAAAAGAAAATTCATAGTAGTGTTCATAGATGAGAAGTCTGTTTGTGGACTCTGTATTCCGTTGGTCTGATCGTCTACCTTGTGGCAGTAGCAACAAGGTCTTAATTATATAGCTCTGTAATAAGTCTTGATACCTAGCAGAGCAAGTCTTCTACCTTCTGTTTTTTCTTTTTAACATTTTCTGGGATATTCTTGGCCTTTTACATTTATTTTTATGTAAATTTTAGAATATGCTTGTTAATTTCTGCTAAAAACAAAGGAAACAAAAAAGGACCGCGCTGAGATTTTTTTCTTCTTGATTTCTTTTTTTAAGGTGCAATTTACATATAGTGACACTCGCCCTTTTAATGTACAGTTCTGCTGGGATTTTGATTGGGACTACAGTGAATTTATTCATGAAGTTGGGGAGAATTAACATATTTACAATATTGAGTTTTCCTTCTGTGAACATGATATATTCCTTCATTTATTTAGGCCTTTAGTTTCTGTTAATAATATTTATGGATTTCGTTATAGAGATGTTGAACATCTTTCATTGACTTATTTCGAAGCCTTTGATTTATGATACCATTATAAATAATTCCTTTAAAGTTCACTGTCTGTTACTGACATATAGAAATACAGTTGATTTTTATATCTTGAGCTTATATCTAGCAATCTTTCTGAACTAATTTATTAATTTTATTAATTTATTTGTAGAATCTTTGTCATTTTCTCTGTGCACAGTTCTTTCATTTCTGAATAATGACAATTATTTTTCTTCATTTCTAATACTTAGAGCAATTATTACTTTATCTTGAATATTCTAGTTAGAACCTCAAGTACAATGAAATGGTGATAGTGAATATTCCTGATCTCATTCCAAATATGAGAGCAAAGGCTTTCAACATTTTACTGTTAAGTGATATATTTATTGCAAATTTTCTGTAGATAGCCTTAATCAATCAGATTGTTTCTTAGTAGTGTGTTTCTTAATTTCTAAAGGTAAAGTTTACTTTAAAAGTTATCCTTTTGATAATGATTACTAACTTATTTACATTTTAATCAGAGTGGTTTATATTATTTTAATTCTTTGAAATTTGTTGAGATTTGCTTTATGGTCAATTTTTATATATGTTCTTAAAATGTATGTGTACTTCAAAATAAAGCACATCACTAGTAACTGGGAGCAGTACTCCATGTAGTGGTGGTTGTGCCAGCGTTGTTAGTTGTGAAGTTTAAATCTTCTGTGTCTATACTGATTTTGTTTTTTCCATATGTTTGCTCTGTTAGTTACAGAGACAGGTGTATTAATATAGTCAGTTAAGATTGTCAATTTTTTTATTTCTCTTTGAAGTTTTGTTAATTTTTGCTTTACGTATTTTAAGGCTGTGTTACTAGGTGTAAACTAATGTAAAGTGCTCATATATTTATGATGAATTAAAACTTTTATCATCATGCAGTGACCTCCTATCTCTAGAAATACACGTTTTACTTCTAAACTCACTTGTAAATAGAGCTCTAGACTACGTATCATAAAATGTACCCCTTTTAAGTGTACAGTTCAGTCCTTTTTAGTATATTCACAGAGTTGTGCAACCATCATCACTATCTCATTCGGGAACATTTTCATTACGCCAGAAAAAAACCCATGCCCAGTAGCAGTTATTCAAAGTACCTTTCATTAGGAATTGCATGTGTCATCTTTTACAGAGATCTGAAATGATATTTACTTAAATATGAAGTCTAGGGGACAGTTCTAGGCTATGTGGTGGTTCCTGTATGGCATTAGGAACCACAGTTCCTTCTCTTCTACCACAGAATGTTTTTCTTGTGTTGACTAGTTTTTTTTTTTTTAAACTTAACAACTACCATATTTTCTTCCAAATAATGTGCATGTTGTACATTATTTTGCCAACTGTGCAACCCCTACACGTTATTTTTGTAAGCACACTATGCCAATTTTTTTTTACACGTTGCTGACTTCAATTGACACTGAGAAGACATAATTAAACTATGAAATAAGCAGACCTAACATAACCTAATGGTTTCACTTAAGACAATCTGATAAGGTATTTGCATTCAGCTGTTTAGCTAATGCACTGTAATTATCAGTGAAACGTAATAGAAACAAAGGCACAATTTTGATTGTTTATTTTCTGATTACTGGGGGACTACCAAACTCGATCTGTGACTTCTTGACCATGGTTTATACCTTTATTATACAACTATGATCAAAAGTAACATTTTCAAACTATTTTTTACACATAAGCAGGAGATTAAAGAAAATGAACAAAATGAAAGAAAATTAGCAGAATGACATGATTTACCTGTAATATGGGAGGACGGGTGAATGAGGCTGAAATTCATTTCTGGAAATATCACAAGACATGCACAGTATATGCGTGGGCGTGCTATTCCAGAACTGTTTTCATTAATTTCATCATTTCTGCACGTTATATGTGTGGGTATGTTATTTACATGGGCATGTTATTTGTGAAAAAAATACAATAGTAGTTAAATTGAAGTGTCTGAACATGAAGGAAGTTCCATACTTCATAATTGTTGACAGTTTGTTTTCTTCATGTTGTTAGTTCATCTTGTTGATATCTGGAACATGATTGAAGCCTTCCGAGATAATGGCCTTAACACACTGGACCATAACACTGAGATCAGTGTGTCCCGCCTTGAGACTATCATCTCATCCATCTACTACCAGCTAAACAAACGCCTTCCTTCTACTCACCAGATCAGTGTGGAACAGTCCATCAGCCTCCTCCTCAACTTTATGATTGCTGCATATGACAGGCTAGTACCTTACATGCTGATTTCATTTTAGTAAAGTCTGCCTCTTAATCATTGTTTTTCCATACTGCCTTGCTAAGTGTTGTAAGCTTAGAATCACAGGTAAAAGAGAAATTATTCACTGTAAATCTCTTCTAGATTTGTAAAATGCCAGAGTGACTTGCTGTCTGGGGGCATGCCGCATATTAGGCTCTGTAATACAGCCATACCTCGGAGATATTGTGGGTTTGGTTCCAGACCTCCACAATAAAGCAAGTCACATGGATTTTTGGTTTCCCAGTGCATATAAAAGTTATGTTTACACGATACTGTACTATAGTAAGTATGCAATAGCATTATAGCTAAAAAAAAAAAAAATGTATATAACTTAATTAAAAAATACTTTATTACTAAAAAATGCTAACCATCACTTGAGCCTGCAGTGGAGGGTCTTGCCTCGATGTTGATGGCTGCTGACTGATGAGGGTGGTGGTTGCTGAAGGTTGGGGTGGCTGTGGCCATTTCTTAAAATAACGCAACAATGAATTTTGCCACATTAATTGACTCTTTTTCATGAAAGATTTTTCTGTAGCATGTGATGCTGTTTGACAGCATTTTACCCACAGTAGAACTTCTTTCAAAATTGGAGTCAGTCCTCTCAAACCTTGCCACTGCTTCATCAATGAAGTTTATGTAATATTCTAAGTTCTTTGTTGTCATTTCAACAATGTTCACAGCATCTTCACCGGGAGTAGATTCCATCTCAGGAAACCACTTTCTTTGCTCACCCATAGGAAGCAATTCCTGCTCCGCTGAAGTTTTATCTTGAGATTGCAGCAATTCAGTCACATCTTCAGGCTCCACTTCCAATTCTAGTTCTCTTGCTATTTCCACAACATCTGCAGTTACTTCCTCCGCTGAAGTCTTGAACCCCTTAAAGCCGTCCCTGAGGGTTGGAATCAACTTCTTTCAAACTCCTGTCAGTCTTGATATTTTGACCTCCTCCCATGAATCACGAATGTTCTTGATGACATCTAGAATGGTGAATCCTTTCCAGAAGGTTTTCAATTTACTTTGTCCAGATCCATCAGAGGAATCACTATCTATCACAGCTGTAGCCTTATGAAATGTATTTCTTAAATTATAAAATATATTTCTTAAATAATAATACTTGGAAGTTGAAATTACTCCTTGATCCATGGGCTGCAGAATGGATGTTGTGTTAGCAGGCATGAAAACAACATTAATCTCCTTGTATAGCTCCATCAGAGTTCTTGGGTGACCACATGCATTGTCAATGAGCAGTAATATTTTGAAAGGAATCTTTTTTTCTGAGCAGTAGATCTCAACAGTGGGCTTAAAACATTCAGTAAACCATGTTGTAAACGGATGTGCTGTCATACAGGCTTTGTTGTTCTATTTGCAGAGCACAGACAGAATAGATTTAGCATAATTTTTAAGAGCCCTAGGATTTTCAGAAAGGTAAATGAGCATTGACTTTAACCTAAAGTCACTAGATGCATTAGCCCCTAACAAGAGAGTCAGCCTGTCCATTGAAGCTTTGAAGCCAGGCATTGACTTCTGCTCTCTAGCTACAAAAGTCCCAGATGGCATCTTCTTCCAATACAAGGCTGTTTCGTCTACATTGAAAATCTGTTGTTTGGTTAGCCAACTTCATCAATTATTTTAGCTAGATCTTCTGGATAACTTGCTGCAGCTTATCAGCACTTGCTGCTTCACCTTGCACTTTTATATTGTGGAGACAGCTTCTTTCCTTAAACCTCATGAACCAACCTCTGCTAGCTCCAGACTTTTCTTCTGCAGCCTCTTCACCTCTCTCAGTGTTCATAGAACTGGAGAGAGTTATGAACTTGCTTTGGATTAGGTTTTGGCTTAAGGGAATGTTGTGGCTGGTTTGGTTTTCTATCCAGACCGCTAAAACTTTCTTCATATCAGCAATAAGGCTGTTTTGCTTTCTTATCATTTGTGTGTACACTGGATTAACACTTTTAATTTTCTTCAAGAACTTTTCCTTTGTATTCACAACTTGGCTAACTGTTTGGCAAAAGAGGCCTAGCTTTTGGCCTATCTTCGGCTTTCAACATGCCTTCCTCACTAAATTATTTCTAGCTTTTGATTTGAAGTGAGAGATGTGCGACTCTTCCTTTCACTTGAACACTTAGAGGCCGTTGTAGGGTTATTAATTGGCCTAATTTCAATATTGTCATGTCGCAAGGAATTGGGAGACCCAAGGAGAGGGAGAAGTGGGGAAATGGCTGGTCAGTAGAGCAGTCAGAACACACAATATTTATCGATTAAGTTTGCCATCTTATATGGGTGAGATTCTTGGAGCCCCAAAACAATTACAATAGTAACATCAAAGATCACTGATATCACAGATCACCATAACAGGTATAATAATAATGGAAAAGTTTGAAATATTGTGAGAGTTACCAAAATGTGACACAGAGACACGAAGTGAGCGCATGCTGTTGGAAAAATGGTGCCAATAGACTTGCTCGATTCAGGATTGCCACAGACCTTCAGTTTGTAAAAAACGCTGTATTTGCAAAGCCCAATAAAACAAAGCACAATAAAATGAGGTATGCTTGTATCATGGAGAATCGCAACACTTGAGAAATACTGTTTGGTAAAGTTATAAGAACCTTCATATAGTTGTTGTCTATCCAGTGAAATATAGCTTGGTTTTGAGTTTGTTTATGGGACCTTTTTATCTGACTTTTAAGTCTTTAACTTTTTTTTTTTTTTTTACTGTGTATCATCAAATGCCTGGACTGTAATATCTTATATTCTCTTTATTTACGATTAAGAAACTTGAAAATTTTTTTTCACTGCAAAACATTATCTAGTAGGCCTTACAGAAAGAGAAGAAAACTATTTCAGTGTATTTCAGATTGAAACAGAAAAGATTTGTTGTGTTTGCATTCATTAAAAATTAAATTGGTATTACAAAAAACAAAACAAAAAAGACATCATAAAGGATGGAAGCACAGAATTAATGATTATAGTCTAAGAACCGAGAATTCAGATTTCTGATCCCAGCTATATTATCTACCATCTGATTTGCATAGGTTAATTCTCTCTTCTTCATTTTCTCTTTCTAGACCTATTTTGAGTTGATACATTTCTAAAATTCTTCTAGTTATACTCTATAACAGTGGGGATTCTGTGAATTAGTGGTAAAACTGTGAAAGTGTCAAAGCCAAGTTACAATTTAGGCACTCAGTAAATTCACAACATTTTATAAGATGTTATCAAATTAGTTATTATAGCCATTTAACAGAAAATTATTTAAAGAAATTTCAATTTTTAAAATAAAACATAAGACATAAGTACCATGATTCTAATGCTATATTTTAGTAATCTAGATTGGTGAATCCATATGGTTAATTCTACACCGTCCAAGGAATGATTCTTTGAGCCTGAAACCTTAGTAAAATTGTATTCTTTGCTATGTAAGCAGCACTTACCATGGCACAGACCCACTGAGTAAATCAATTAGAGGTCACAGAACTGAAAAACAATTAAATTTTTTAGAAGTCAAAAATAAAATCTTGTTACTGTCTAAAAATTTAAAAGAAGGGGTTCAAAACTTTTATTCCATAATCATATCAAATAAATTCAACCCTATGGTTAAAGAAGAGAGGCGAAGGGAGTGGAAGGAACAGTGATGAGATAGCAAAAGGGAGACTAGGAAGAACAAACTTGGAAGCAGAAGATACACAGATATCCAGGGATATATGCCAAGGAAACCTAGACACATACATAAAAATACAAAGAAGAATAATAAATTGACAGAAAAATAGGTGAAGGTAGACCAATAGAAGGGCACACTGAAAAGAACTAGGACATTTATGAGTCGAGTGAGTTAAGAAGGGTAAGGAATGTAGTATGTTAGTGGTAAGTTTGGTAATTCTTAAGTCATTTCCTATTAAAAGTCAATTGTAGATTTAATTTTTGATTCTTTAATGGTAATATGCCCATTTCTTCTGGAAACTTTTAAGATTTTTTTTTCAGCGCTATTATTATTTCTTTTGGTGTGGATTTTTTTTTTTAATTTTATTCAGTTTATTTATTTTTATTTATCCTGCTTGTAGAACTTTTTCACTGACCTTTTTGGATAGCTGGTTTAATGTACTTCATCCATTTTTAAAAAATTCTCAGTAGTTTTCTATTAATATGTTGCTTCTACCCAATTCTCTCCTCTTTTTTATGGAATTTCAAGTTCATGTATATTATACCTTCTTGCTTGGTGGTTAATGTTTTCTCTTACCATCTTTTGTGAATTTGTTATCTGTTTCCCTCTCTGGGCTTCATTCTGGATAATTTCTTTTAAACTGTCTTCCAGTTTACTTATTCTTTCTTCACCTCTGTCTAATTTTTTTTAATTGTGGTAAAATATATATAACAAAAATTTTTGCCGTTGCAATCACTCTTAAGTGTACAATTCAGTGACATTAATTACATTCACCATGCTGTGTAACCACTATCCGTTTCCAAAAGTTTTTCATCACCCTAAACAGAAACTCAGTATGCCTTAAGCAGTAACTCCCCATTTCTCCTTCCCACCAGCCCCTACTAGTCAATGATAAACTTTTGTCCCTATGCATTTGCCTGTCCTAAATATTTCATGTAGGTTGATTCATACAGTGTTTGCCCTTTTGAGTCTGACTTATTTCACTTAGCATAATGTTTTCAAGGTTCATCCATATTGTAGCATGTATCAGAACTTAATTTCTCTTTATGGCTGAATAATATTACATTGTATGTGTATAACATTTTTTTTTTTATTCCATTCATCTGTTGATGGACGTTTGGGTTGTTTCCACTTTGGGCTATTGTAAGTAATTCTCCAGTGAACATTGATGTACAAGTATCCGTTTGTATCCTCGCTTTCAGTTCTTTTGAGTATATGTCTAGCAGTGGAATTGCTGGGTCATATGGTAACTCTATGTTTAATTTTTTTTTTTTTCTCATTAAACTTTGTTTTAATGGGTCTCAAA